GGTTTGAACCTACCAATCACTCAAAGGGAAAGCTGAGGCTGTCTACTCCTGTAAGTTTTAAAGCCTTGAAAACCTGAAGGTGAAGTGTTATTCTGTCCCACAGGGTCAAAAGCTACAAAGACACTTATTCATAAATTGTAATTTTTGCCACTTTGGATGCCTAGTTGTAAACCTTGCCCAATGCTCGCCACTCTGGTGGCAATGCGTTAAGCATCAGATCAATAATCTTAAAGCAGGCAGTTCAAACCCACTAGCCACTCAGCTAGTGGATTATATGAAGAAGAATGCAGTGTCAGATTGGAGGAAGACTTATTAACAACCAGCGATACGCATATGACACAACCTTGCTAGCTGAGGAGGAGGAGGATTTGAAACACTTGCTGATGAAGGTCAAGAATTGTAAGACTTCACTCTGGACTACAACTCGGTGTACAGAAAACAAAATCCTCACAAATGGACCAGTAGGTAACATCACAATAAATGGAGAAAGATTAACGTTGTCAAAGATCTCATTTTGCTTGGAAAAAGCATTCAAGAGATCAAACAGCGGGATGTATTGGGTAACTCGGCTACATAAGATCTCTTTAAAGTGTGGAAAATCAAAGATGCTACTTTGAGGACTAAAGGGCACCTGGCCCAAGCAATGGTATTTTCAATTGCCTCATATGCATGAGAAAGTTGGATATTGAATAAGGAAGATTGAAGATTTGATGCATTTAAATTACTGTGCTGGTGAAGAATACTGGAAAGTACCATGGACTGCCAAACACACAAACCAATCTGTCTTGGAAGAAGTACAACCAGAATGTTCCTTAGAATCCATGGTGGCAAGAGTGCCTCTCCACTTACCTTTGGACAAGTTATCAGGAGAGATCAGTCCCGAAGGGATAGTATGGTGGGTAAAATTGAAGGCCAATGAAAAGGAGGAAGCCCCTCCACAAGATGGATTGACACACTAGCTGCCATAAGGGCTCAACTGAGAAACAACTGTGACGATGGCACAGTGTTGGGCCGTGTTTCATTCTGGTGTCAAGAATCACTGGGAATTAGAACCAACTACAGGCACCGAACCATAACAGCAACTGAGTTTTCAAAATCACTGAATATTTGACCTAACTTTAGCCGCTAACCACAAAAATGAATTGTAACCATAACTTTCTAGAAGCAGGAGTCCCTAGGTGATACAAATGGCTCACATGCTCAGCTGCTAACCAAAAGGTAGATTGTTCAAACTCCCCCAAAGACACCTCAGAAGAAAGGTGTAGCGGCCTATTTCCTTAACACATGCCACTGAAACCCTATGGAACACAGTTCTACTTCGAGATACGTGAGGTTGCCAGGAGTCAGATTCAACTCAGGGGTAAATGGTCTGAGTTTTTGCTTCTCTAAATGCAAGAAATTTTCTTGCATAGATTATAAAATATGACCTACTAGGTACTCACTTGAAATAATGATCTTGGTTTTTGCTATTGTTCCTCACTGAGAAAAATAGAAAATTACATTAAGTCCTATGCCTCCTATACCAAGGAAGAAGTTTTAATTCTTTATTTACAGTTCTGCCCATCTGCATTTAGAAATTATAGAGTGCTTTCTACTTTTAGCTGTAGGGTTTGACTACATTTGTATGCCATTAACACAAAAGTACTCTCTGTTTCTAGCTGTACCATATTTTATTTTCAACTAAATGTAATTCCCTTGATTGCTGGGGCCAATTATTTATTAGGGGACTTGCAAATGGCCCAAAGAGCAAAAGTCATAGAATAGGCAAAAAATGACTCCAACAGACTTAACGCTTTTCCAATAAGAGTTTTGTATATCCCAATAGTTGTAACTATATAAGTAGCTCAAGGCTAGTTACTAAGCTTTTTTCCCTGTGCTTAGAAATCTCTAAGTAGCGAATTACATTTTTATTGTTGTTAAGAGAAGTGAAAGGAAAATAAAAAGGATCTTTGGGTCTGTCTTGTGGGTTGCCGGTTTGTTTTTAATTAAACATTACATGAAGTCTTTATATGCAAAAAAACAAAGGATTGACTACTTTATGATGTTCATACATGCATTTTAAATTATTCACATTGTAACATTTAAATTGTGTTCACTGGTTAGTGTTTCAAGACTACCTGGCTAACCTACACCGAGTGCACATCATCATACATAGGAGGCACCATGGGGAATGTCTCAAAGTGTACTGCAACCACATTTGGTAAAACATGAACAGATATCCTCAAGATAGGCTAGCTTCAGAATATAAATTCCTTGTGGGCAAGGACTTTGGTCATATTATAGAGTTGAATGCTAAATAAATGTTTTAACAATCCTACAACAAAGCACCCTAAGAGGTAGGAGAGGTCAGAGGCCATTTCAGCTGAGGTCCAAACCAAACCAAAGTCACTGCGACTCAATCAATTCAGACTCACGGCCACCCTCCCGAGCGCAACAGAACTGCCCCTCTAGGTTTTCACAGCTGTGAACCTTCATGCAATCAGAAAGCCTCATCTTTCTCCATCAGAGCAGAGCTGGGGGTTCCAAACTGCTGGCCTGGCAGTTAACAGGCTAATGCAGAACCCACCATGCTACTGGGGATAGAGAAAGTCAACAGAAAAATAACAGCACCCTAGTCTCAAAAGGTGGCTAAGATATGAAGTGATGGTCTAGATTACAGTGTAGGAGGTTACACGATGTATGCCTAAAATACTGGATCTACTCCAATTACAAAAGAAAAGGCTGGGAAGGGGCTACTGGGCACACTATGAAAGGTTTTGACTCAAAGACTATATAACAGGCTGCAGTTACTTTAAAAAAAAAAAAACGCAAGTGTGTCGCATGCTAAAAGTAGTTGGTTATGGAAATATTTAACAAGGGTGGGGAAATCTAGAATGAGCAAGTTTAATTAGAAAATGTCTTTAATGGTTTAGAGGAGAAACAATAAGAGTCTGACCAACGATACCAAAGGCAGGTCCAACCTAAGACGTTATACTGGGGGGTGGGCAGCAGGCGGCTCTGCCGGTAACAGGCTGAGCTCAGGCTGAGTGTGAGGAAAGGGTGTGAAGGATTAAAGGCGTCAGGAGGAGCTGAGAATTAATAACACAAGAACAATGCCTAGTTCATAATAAAAAGATAGTCTTGATCAACATGGTAGCTACTAAGCCACCATGAGACCCTGTCACATTAGCCAGCAGGCGATGAGAGATGGCCCGGTCAGTAGTGCTCTGAGAATTCCATGTGAGTGCCCGAATTACAGGCGAGGCAGCCAGGAGACATGCAGGTGTCCTACAGCGGTCTTATACGGAGAGTCTCACACATCAAGGTGGTGGTGAGGCTATAGGGTAACTGGGAGAGTGTAATATAGACTGAAGACTACTGTGTCATGGAAAGTTACAAAAACAAAACTCAAACCAAACCAAACAAACAAACAAACAAGCCCCCACAAAACTATCTGTAGTAGTAAACAATAACATACTTACCTGTAGGGCAAAGTCATAAAATAGCTTGGCCACTTTGGCATAATAGGAGTTGTTTAGGTGAGCACCTCCTCCAGGGAAAAGAATCCTAAAACAACAGGACACGGGGTGTTTCCCCCGGAAAAGGATATTAAAACCACTTCTTCTTATGACACAAGCAGATCATTAAGGCAAGTAAAAAGCAAAAAATAAATAAGCAAAACAGGATATAACCATTTTTGGAACGCTACCCACTCAGAAATGACCCTAGTGAACACCCATCCTAGCCTGGAGAAACAAAGGTACTAAGTAATCTTTGCTATTTGGAAACTCACAGTCTAGTAGACAACTTGGATGTATAAACTGCGGTAGAATCCTTGTTAGGAAACTCCACTATCAAAAGCGACTGAATGAAGCCTCACTAGCAGTTTTCCCTGTTTACTGACGCAGGATTAAAAAGCTGCCTCTGTCCAATTTTGTATGTTTAAACCCAAAGACTCTTCATAAAGAAAAGTTGATTTCTCTTCTAAGTAAGAAAATTCATTAGAACTAGACGTTGCCCTTTTACCTCTGCCTCGCAAACAAACTAGTACAGGATTTACTGCATAAGAAGTGCTTGGCCAGAGCGTTTCTGAAATTGTACTGGTATTTCCTGGAGCCACTCAGAAACAGTCCATATGCTCCCAATTTTCCCACCCTGGAGCCTGCTTTGACTGCCCGGGCTAAGCAAAGAACAAAGTGTGAGAAGAAATTAAGAGGAGGCACTACAGGAAACAGGGTGGGGAGATACAAACAGGGCTCCCTGGTCCCGTAAAGAGCCATTGCTGGTTGTCAATGTACACCGAGGAGCTGGATAAACTAGCTACCAGAACTTTCTTCCTGCCCATATTAACTATGACTTCTGATTCCTGTACAAACAGAAGCGCAGGTGGGGAGAAGGAGGAAGAAGCGAAGTGACTCAAAAGAATCACGGGGAGGCTCCCCGCTCACGTGGTGGCTGGACTTGCACCTCCTCGGGCGTGCCAGAGCATCAGGCACACATCCGCGGCTGCAGGGGTTTCACTCCCTGAACTGCCTTTACAGTGAATGTTTAAATGAACTGAAGGCAAAGGAATTTTCTAAGATAGCTTTATAAAGAGTCTTTATTTTTTTTTAAAAAATGAACATAGGCTTATTAATACACGGGATTAAGAAACTTTACAGTAAAAACAGCACTCCAACACCCCCTCACAATCAGAACCACTGTTAATAGTTTTATATTGATCTGACACAAATAGCTTCTTGCCCCAACCTTGAAAACAAAAGCAAACAAAATTTACTAAGGGTTCCATTTTGTGAATTGCCTTTTTCAAATGACGATATCACACAGTTCACCTAATAAAAGTGACTGAGAATAGCACCTAAAGATATCCTCATTTTAACTGCCTGCATAGTATCCTACCATGTACATATAATCTATTTTATTTAAACAAGTCCAACTGAAGGACTGCTGGCTGGTTTCTTAATTTTGGTTATTATAACAGTACTACAATCCATATGCTCAGGGATATGCTTAGTCTTCACACAAGGAGAAAAGTAAATTTTAAAAATAAATATGGTACATTTTAAATTTTAGTATGTACTGCAAAATTAACCCCCAAAACGCTATACAGTTTATATTACAATTAAGTAAGTATGAGAATACTTATTTCTTTAAATCCAAATCATAATGTAGTCACAAATTTTCTCTTCTCTACCAATGTGATATTTGAAAAAATGTTTTCTTAATTGTTCTAAGTAGCTTGCCTCTAAGTAGGAGTGGCAAACATTTCCAATATGCTTAAAAGCTTTTTTCTAAGAGCCAATCAATCATATCCTTTGTGGTCAAGCCAGAGGATTAGGAAGGGTTTTTTTCCCCCCTGTGTTCTATTCAAGTTACTGGCTGGAAGATAATTAGTAGCCTCAAACCCAGTTGCTTTAAATTGCCTAAGCAAATATTAAAAATGGCTTCAAAACATGTAAGCTAAGAATTATAGAACAAAGACTCTGTCACACATTTTTATGTGTAAATATATACTATGTGGGTCCACATAGCATGGATATATATTTCCTAACCTGCCTCCTACATTTCATAGGACTTTTGCATTTCATAGGACTCTGAACAAAATAATTCCTAAAAAAAGAATTCAGAAAACAAATGTGCTATGCCACTGGAAGAAAGTCACATAGAAACACCTCAGGCATACCTGTGAGATCCAGAATGCCACAGGACTACCTTGGTCATCCAGGTCTCTCACAAGTCTTTGGCCTTTGAGAGGGTAGTTTACCATTTGCCTATTGTTCTCCCTTGGTGGAAACGATATTTTAATTTTCTTATGCCGACATATTTCCGCCTTACAAAGGTTCCAGCATTCGTAGGTTTTGCTGCATTTAGAGGCAGTACTCTTCACAAACACAAACATGTCTGTATGCACTGTATCAAATCAATACTATACTCTCAACTTACCCATTAATAGATCTGAAGAGCTTTTCATACTCGTTATCTGTAAGATTAAGCCTGAAAATTATTAAAAAGAAATTGTTACAAAATATCCACTTCCAAGATTTAAGAAAAAAAGGCTCTAAATGAAGTCACATTATGCTTTTGAAGCCAGATAAAAGTTAATTCTTAAATTCCAGGTAATATTACCTCTCCACCTTCCTAGAGGTTTTTATAAAAGACATAAAAGCCAAACAATTGTATCATATTTTGTTCACTGGACAAATGAATATGATGATATTCTATGGCCTAATGTCATCTAATATTGAAAAGTATATATTAATATGCAAAACATTAAAAATTATGAAATCTGAGCACCAATAATTTTTCTGTGGTAGAAAGATATGGCAGTCTGCTTCCCTAGAGATTTAGAGCCTCAGAACCCCTATGAGGCAGTCTTATTCAGTCCTGTAAGAGCCCTATGAGTTGAAATCACCTGAACTGCAGAGGGTTTATTTTATTCACATATACTTATTTTCATTTCTCTGCTAGCCAAGAACTGCGGGAGGCCTTCAGAAGTATTATGTAAACACTAAACAAAGAGCTTGTTTATTTATTCATTTTTAGAGTTTTATTAATAGCATGTCTATCTTAAATCTCGGGAGCCCTGGTGGCTTAGTGGTGACACATTGGGCTGCTGACAAAGAGGTCAGCAGTTCAAAACCACCAGCCACTTCACAGGAGAAAGATGGGGCTTTCTACTCCCCAAAAGAGGGAGCATCTTGGAAACTCACAGGGACAGTTCGACCATGTCTTCCCAGGATCAGTATAAGTCGGCATAAACTCAATGGCAGTGAGTCTGATTTTGCTCTTTACCTGACATTTCTGAGTCCTGGTGAGTAGTGGATTACAGATGGACTGCTAACTGTGAGGTCAGCAGCTTCAGAAACCCAAAGCTCAGTTCACGATGCTGATAAAAACCACCAATCCTATAAATTCCAGTCACTACTTCATCCCACTCCCACCACGGTTGCAACTCTTCAGGAGTTACTACGTATTCTGTTCATAAGTGTTACCCATGTGGTCTAAGCTACAAGGATTGAAGCTGTCAAGGATTTCGTCTTGCACAGATCCAAAAATCAATGCCCATGGAAGCAGCCACCAAGAACTCAAACAACACATCCCACTGGGTAAATCTGCTGCACAAGATCTCTTTAAAGTGTTGAAGAGCAAGGGTGTCACTTAGAGGACCAAAGTACACTTGACCCACAGGTGGCATTTTCAATCACCTTATAGGCATATTGAAGTTGAACATGGAATAAGGAAAACCAAAGAAGAACCGATGCATTTGAATTATGGTGCTGGCAAAGAATACTGAAAGTTTCATGGATAGCTTGAAGAACAAAAAATTTGTCTTGGAAGCAGTGCAGCCAGGATGTTCCTTAGAAGTCAGGATGGCAAGATGTCATCTCATGTTTAGACTTATGATATGGAAAGAACAGTCCCTGGAGAAGGACATTATGCTTGGTAAGGTAGAGGGGCAGCCGAAAAGCAGAAGACTCTGGACAAGACAGATTGACACTGTGGCTGCCACAGTGGACTCAAATATAAAAATAATTGTGAGGATGGTGCAGGGCCGGGCAGTGTTTCCCTCCATTGTATGTAGGGTCACCATAAGAAAGAACCGACTCGAGGGCACCTGAGAGCAACATCTGTGTCTCTGTATTTCCCAACAAGTGATTGGGTGGGACTATGCAAACAGGGCACGTGTGACACTACTAGAGAGGGTTGGTCAGTTTTAATTGCTACTCTCCTGCCTCTGAGGATAAGACATCTCAGAAGCAGGAACAGAGAGAATGCCTGGGACCCTTAAGGAAGAAGAGGCACCGGTGGAGAATGTCTGAAACCCCTGATTGATAAGACAGGAGCCAAGACCAGAGGTACAAGAGGCTGCGGCCCAAAGACCATGGGACAGAGCCAAGGAATCATGGTGGGATTCCTGGGCCACACAGGCAGAAGCCAAGGGACTACATGGCTGAGAGTCAGAGTCGCTGTTGTAGACCAATGACTATATCCTTACTATTTACTGATCCTGACAACCAATTAAACAGCTGCAACGACGGGCTCAGATTTGGCAGGATGGCACAGGGCTATGCCGTGTTCCATCAGTGGTACTTACTATAGAGGGGCTATGACTTGGAACTGACTAGAGAGCACCCAACAACAATTGCCAGGCTATTGATGATTTTAGCTTCTTCCCTCTGAGAAAATCAACTAGATTAATCTGTGACAACTAGCTACAATCTTTATTTAGACCACAGCAAGATATGCTTGTTCTTTAAAAGGATATAGTAAATTCAAGAACAATTGAAGAAAGCTCATATTGATTTGTCAAATTCCTGCAAGAACTCTCCTACATTTAGCAATTTTCTGTTATTCCTATTATCCTTATTCCTATAAGAAAGGAATAAGACATAGACTGTCTGAGCCATTTACAAAGGAAGTTGGAGATTTATTATCAGATAAGAAGCAAGGCTCATAATTTCTACCCCAGGGAAAAAGGTTTGGTTTGCATTGGTTTTAGGGTAAGGGGAGCAGGAAGATTATCTCTCTCATTAATAAGTAGGTAATATATTTTTGTAGACCATATTATGTAGAACTCTGCTTTCCTCTAAATTCAAATGAACCTCCCTACTTAAGAAGTCCCAGTCTATGCATAAATTCACAATAATATCCCCCTTTTAACAGAGAAGGAGCCCTGGTGGTTTGTGGGGTAAACATTGGGCTGATAACAACATGGCTTTTGATTCAAACCCACCAGCCAAACTCTGCAAAAGCTGTTTGCTCCTGTAGAGTTTTATAGTCTCAGAAACTCTAAATAAAGTTTTACTATCTCCTATATAGGGGGTAAAGGGAGAACGACAGGGCTTTCTACTCCTATATACAGTTACAGTCTCAGAAACTCACAGGGCCAGTTCTACCCTGTCCTACAGGGTCACTGTGAGTGAACATCCACTTGATGGCAGTGCGTTTGGTTTTGGTTTATATAGGGGGCTTCGGAATCCCAGGACATTTCATTGTGTTCATTCAGGACTTATACATGGATCAAGAGGCAGCTGTGTGAACAGAACAAGGAAATAACCCATGGTTTAAAATCAGGATAGATGTGCATCAGGGTTTGTATCATCTCACCAGATTTACTCAATCTGCATACTGAGCAAATCATCAGAGACAGTGGATTATATGAAGAGTGTGGCATCAAGGTTGGAGGAAGGCTTATTAACAATCTGTGATAGGCAAATGGCACAAGCTTGCTTGCTGCAAGTAGGAGGACTTGAACTTTTGATAAGATCAAGGATTACTGCCTGCAGTATGGATTATACGACTCAGTGTAAAGAAGATTAAATCCTCACAACTGGATCAATAGGTAACACAGTGCTAAACAGAGAAAGGGTCAAGGAGTTCATCTTGTTTGGATTCACAATCAATGTTCATGGCAGCAGCAGTCAGGAGATCGAACCACACATTGTATTAAATAAATCTGCTGCACAAGACCTCATTAGAGTACTGAAAAGCAAGGATGTTACTTTGAGGACTAAGGCGCACCTGACCCAAGTCATGGTATTTTCCATCGCCTCATATGTGAAAGTTGGGCATTGAATAAGGAAACCTGTAAAAGAATTAATGCATTTGAATTGTGGTGCTGGGGAAGAATATCTTAAACACCTGGGCTCCAAATGGACTAAGTGGTCTGTTTTAGAAGCACAGTCAGAGTGCTCCTTAAAGGCAAGGAAAGGCGTCCTCTTAAGCAACTTTGGACATGCTTTAAGGAGTGACCAGTCTCTTGAGAAGGACATCATGCTTGGATAGGGGGCAGCAAAAAAGAGGAAAGCCCTCAATGAGATGGATTGACACAGTGGCTACAACAATGGTATCAGGAAAAGGGATAATTATGAGGATGGTACAGTACCGTGCGGTGTTTAGCTCGGTTGTGCAGAGTCGCTATAGGTCGGAAAGGACCAGATGGCACCTAACAACACATAGGGTCACTGTGAGTCAGAATCAACTTAATGAAGTGGGGGAGGTCCCTGGTATTCTGCCAGCCTAACCTCCCTACATGCACCCACAAAACAGGAACTAACCAGCCATAACCCAGACTCTTCCCCATGGCTATTTCAACTATGGGCCTGATCAAAATGACAGTTCCCGGGTGGTGCTAACTATTCACTTGGCTATTAACTTAAAAATTAGTAAGTCTGAGAAAACCCCCTGCTCCCCACCCCTGGGACCCTTGTTGCTATGCTTTTGTTGTTAGCTGCCATCACAGTGACCCAACATGTACAACAGAGTGAAACACTGCCCAGTCCTGCACCATCCCCATAATCACTATTGTGTGTAAACCTATTGTTACAGTCACTATGTCAGGCTATCTTATTGATGGCTTCCATAGCGTAACAGGAGCTCTGGTGGCCCAGTGGTTACACATTGGACTGCTAACTGCAAGGTCAGCAGTTTGAAACCACCAGCCTGCCAGAGGGAGAAAACAGAGCTTTCTACTCCAGTTAAAAGTTACAGTCTTGGACAGTCACAGGGGCAGTTCTACCCTGTCCTATGGGGTCGCTATGAGTCAACGCCGACTGGATGGCAGTGAATTTGCTCTGGTTATACTTTGATGTTATTGATTGAGATGTGCCCTTCAAAAATATGTGTTGGCATCTGAACCCTTCAACCTGGGAGAAAAGCCCTTGGGGGCTCGATTAAAGCACTTGACTATTAACCTAAAGGTCTGCCACTTGAACCCCTCAGTCCAGCTGAGGGAGAACAATGTGGCAATCTGCTCCCACAGAAATTACAGTCCTGAAACCCTCATGAGGAAGGCAGGTCCACTCCGTCCTGCAGGGTCACTAGGATACTGGGTTTAGATTTTGGTGATTCCGATGAATATCAGATCCTCCCACTTGGGAAGAAGGTTTTCTTTGTCATGTTAATGCAACCACAACTTGTGGGTGTTCCCTCAGCAGATTTTGAGCTAAAAAAGAAGCATTGTAAATACAAAGAAAGCCCACATGATGGCTCCCCTTCCCCTCAGTTCAGATTTCTAGCCTCCTAAACTATCAGGAGGCGTCCTGATGGGAAGAGATTATTAGTTGGGCTGGCAACCTCAAGGTCAGCAATTCAAAACCACCAGCTGCTTTCTACTCCTGTAAAGAGCTCCCGGATCTGAAACTCAGAGGAGCAGGTCTCCCTGGATACTGTGTCAGAATCGACTACATGGCAGGGAGTGGATGTGAGGTGAAACTGTAAGGAACCCTGGGGCATAGTGGGTTATGTGCTGGGCTGCTAACTGCAAGGTCAGCAGTTCAAAATCAACTAGTCCACAGAAGAAGGATGAGAGTGTCTACTATTTTTAAAAAGTTGTGGCCTTCGAAAACCCACAAAGGCAGTTCTATCTTGCCCTATAGGGCCACTATGAGTCAGAATCAGCTCAATGACAGTGAGTTAGAAACTGTGAGACAATCAATTTGCTTGTTAAAATCACTACCTGTGATGACAGCACTCAGAAACGCAGACTCCTAAGCTGAAGGTACTTGAATGCCGACAGGCACCATCGCCAGGCTTTTGTCCTAAAGACCCATAGTGTGCAAGTGTTCCGGTTTCAAAACCAGGCTCTTCCTGTGCTCTACCACCCTGACATCATACAACACTGTTGGCTCTTTCAAAGATCGTTTACATCCTGCAATCCCACAACCCAGGCCCTGAACAAGAGCTTCTTTCTTTACATCTAGCCAATTACAACAGGCTCTGAATTGGTCCGGACTCTTCACAGACTCACCCCCAAGTCATTAACACTGGAGCGGTACAAATGGTGAATGCGTTCAGCTGCTAACCAAAAGGCTGAGACTTGAATTCACCCACAGACACCTCGGGAGAAAGGTCTGGTATTCTACTTGCAAAAATCAGCCACTGAATGTTTACGGAGCCCGGTTAGATTCTGACAGACACACTTGGAGTTGCCACACATTGGAGTCGACTGAGATTGTAACTGGTCTCAGAGAGCAGTAGTGATTCTGAGGTAGAATTCCCACCTTCCCTTTCAGGAGACCTGGTCAGCATCCCCCTGCAGACCCACCACGTGTTAGTCAGTACAGAAGCTCGCGTGTGCTATGTTGCTGCAGAGATGGCTACAGAGCTTCCAAAGAGAGAAGAGCCGATTGTTCTAAATTTGGAAGATAGCCAGGAGTTTTCCACTCTGTTCAAACCCAGTGTGTTATCGTCTGCGTTTCCAAAGCCTATGTCATTTGGAAAATGAGATCTGCTACCAAAGAAATTAAAGATGAAAGGCCAAAATGAAATGCTTACCTTGGAACAGAGATTGCTGAGTTAAATGAAAAAGATCAAGTAAGAAGATAATCCCTATGACACTAATTTGTGGAAAATATCTCTAAAATATAATATTTACATATATATTAATATTTTATTTAAACAGTACTTTTTCTTTTGAATTTTTTTCTTTACTGAATCATTTATAAAGACAGGTTATAAATAAAATAATCATTTATAATGTAGTTTCGGGGGGCGGGGAGATGGGGTGGCTAGGCTAGTCCATGACATACTCATTCTGACTGACAATATATTATAAATTACATCTCAGGCATCGTTAATTATAAAAATTCAACTCTCAAAATCAAAATGAGATGAATCATTTCATTTCCAATGGCCCATATGACTGCAAAAGTCAAAATCAACCCCACTGCCATCAAGTCAATTAGCACTCACAGTAATCCTGTAAAGTTTCTGAAGCTATAAATCTTTAAGAGAGCAAATAGCTTCATCTCTCTCCCACAAAATATAGCTCCTTAAAACTGCAATACCAATAGTGTATTGCAACACTGCTATATTTGTCATTTAAAAACTTTTGCAGTAGAATGTGAAAGCATTGTAAAAGTCACATAAATTAATCTCTCCTGTTTCCCTATTGTAACACTATGGAATAAAGCTGTTTATGTTTTATATTCTTCTACTTTATTGATGTTGTGACAACTGATGAGGACCATTTATTTGGGGGCAAAGGAAATGCTGGCTTATCCTTGGTGCTAATATCTATGACACACTTCTAATGATGTTACAGTTACACACAGCTACGGATACTACACAACCTAATGAAAGACTCTAAGCATTATGTTTGTGGCAGAAATTAAGCACAATGTTACTATAGCTAGATAACGAACAAATATGAAACATTCACTTTTATACAGAATGTGATAAATAGCAAACCATACCTTATTGGTACGACCCTTGCACCTGCAGACTCCAAATATTTTACATAGGATGCAGCAATGTAGTACTTTCCAAAGCTCCTCATCTTATTTTGGGTCTTTTGCATTAATACTCCTAAATAACAAAACAAAAATAACTTTAGTTTTCATAAAATTTCCTTTTTTCCTGCTCAGAAGTAAAACCTAGCCCAGTAAAACTTTACCAGTTGAAGGAACTAAATATGAGATTTCTTCTGTAAGTGTATTCACAGAGTTGGGGAGGCTTATCTGCATTGTAAGTAGCTTCCCCACCCCACATCCGAGGCCAAATAAGACCTAAAAGCATCCTTCCTGTACCTTAAAATACATTTCAGAGTAAACCTACTCCATTGCCATCCAGTTGATTCTAACTCATAGCAACCCTATATCCCAAATCAAACCCACTGCCATTGATTCCATTCTGACTCACAGAGACACTATAGGGTGGAACAGAACTGTCCCTATGGGTTTCCAAGAGTGTAAATCTTTACAGAATCAGACAGCCTCATCTTTCTCCTGTGAGCAGCCAATGGGTTTGAACCACCAACCTTGCAGTTGGCAATCCAATGCTTTTCAGCATGTTCAGAGGCCCTGAATCAAGTGCCATCAAAAGTCAAGGAACCCATCCACCTGACAGGGCCCTCCCTGTAAGCCAGGGAGAAAGCAACAGAAAATGAGATCAGGGCAATAACAGATCAGGCAGGAGTCACATTCCAAAGGGTCTTCAAATCTTAATAAATTCTACAAGACCAGAAAGGCTCTACCCCCACTTGCCTCTTTGGCTTCTCCTAGCTTTTTATCTGTGCTTAACCACACTAGCCTTTCAGGGGCTCAAGGAGCTTGGCACATGCTCCTTGCTCCATCTAGAATATCCTTGCCCCTCCAAAGATCTAGTTCCTTCTCCCATGCTTTAAAACATCTGGAACACTCAGCACACTTGCAGTGATTCTACAGGTCTCCTGACAGGAAGGGCCGTTGTCTGTGTTATGCATTTTTGTATTCCCAGTTTCTTTTATGATCTGACATTAATTCGGCAGTAACTGACATTTTAAGGAGCTCTGGTGGCATAGTGGGTGACTAGTTCGTTACAAACCACCACATCAGCCATTGGACACCATCAGCAGCTCTGTGGAAAAAAAGATGAGGCTTTTGATACCCCTAACGTATTACAGTCTTGGAATCCCACAGACAGTTCTATGCTGTCCTCTAGGGTCACTATGAATCAGAATTGACTCAATGGCAGTGAGACCTCAGGAGCAATAACAGCCACATATTATAATGATCTGGTTTAATAAGGCGTCTCCTCAGCGATAAGATAATCTTCGATGAGGAAAATGAAGTGTGGCTGAGGAAAAAAGAATCAAGGTGTGCCAAGGGGTAAGGAGGCACACCCACAAATATATCGGGGTACCAAGGGACCCCTGCTGGTGCAGTGGTTATGTGTTGGGCTGCAATGCGCATGGTCAGCAGTTGGAAACCAGCAGCAGATCCTCGGGAGGACCACTGAGCTTTGCTCGGCCATAAACAGTTTCAGAAACCACAGGAGGTCGCTATGGGTCAGCAGTGACTCCATGGCAGTGTTTGGAGAGGTGGGAACACAAGATTCAAGAAATGAATTGCACCGGATAATTAAGTTCCACCTACAGTCCTCCCTCCCGTCCTCTGCCTTATACATGTATACTCACTTTTCCCGTTCCGAGGAAAGCAGTAAGGCTGTACTCCCTACCCTTCAAATCTGACCAAAATATCACCCACACTCTAAGGCCATTATACAACTTCTGTGGCTTCCATGTCTTTGAATACCCTATACTCCCTAGGCTTTCTACTCCTGAGATGAATTAGTCTCAGAAATCCATGAGGGGTGTTCTACCATGTCCTGTGAGTCTGCACTGACCCCACGGCAGTGAGTTTGGATGTTTTGGGTTTTCCTCTGACTGACAAAAGAGAAAAGAAGCCCTGGTTTTCTTTTGTTTCTCCTCTTTTCTGGACTCGCTATTGCCAACAAAGTTGATATAATTATACTTTCAGGTTTGTTTGCTTTGTTTTCTTTTCTTAAAAGAACCACCCTTCACCAAAAAAAAAAAAATCTGTGGGCTCCTTAGAGAATCCAATACTTTAAAATAGCAATGTCCCAAATACTTATACACAGTTCATTTGAAAGTTGGGCACTACCCATGCACGTGAAAAATACTACTAATTTACTGTTTGGTTACAGGAAGAAATGCTCATCTTTGTGGAAGAAAAAATAAATTGAAATAGTATGCATGGCATAAATCCACAAAGAATGTAAACTTTATTTTAATTGTCCACACGTAAATTGCTTCGGGCAAATTTCAAACCCTGCCTACATTCTCCCTGGTAGATTTCCCCCTATCCAGTGTCTATCAAGCAAAACAACAACATAAACAAAACGCCAATCTCACTGCCATCAATCTCTTCCATTCATAGGACAGAGTAGAACTGACCTCGTGGGTTTCTGAGGCTGGAAATCTTTACAAGAACAAGAAGCCTTTTTCTCTCCTGCAGAACCTCTTAGTGGGTTCAAAGTGCTGACCTTGCGGTTAGCAGCCCAATGCGTAATCCACTCCACCACCAGGGCTTCTCCCAGTGTCTCTAGTCCTGCAAAAATCAGTATGAAACTGATTTACTTCTTCTAACACACCCATTTGCAGAAACGAATTATCACAAGCTTAATGTTGCCCACAAATGAGATTTAAGTTAGGATAATACACAAATCGCTGCTGCCCCCCAGTGCTGTAGATGTAACAAAGTCAAAGTAAACCTTAATTTCTTTTGTTACCTAAATCGACTCAAATCTTACCATTTAACGATCTGTACCTTTAAATTACCCTCAGCCAGCAAATTTATAACAAATACAATTCAGACATACTTTGTAGAAACTGCATACTTTGTAGAAACTCCTAGTTATACATAAAAAGATAAAATGCACAAGATCCTTCCTCTCTTAAAACTTCAAGAGTCATATTCATGTGAATTGACATCTGCTACATTTCAGTATAATCTAAATGATATCCGAACTCCATTTGTACGTTAAAAACAGTGCACTGGACTCAAAGGAGACATAGGAGTTCTAGCCCAGCTGGAAAAGTCAAGCGATGGCATGCATTCCCCCAAACCCCACACGCCCTTGATTACCAATGATGGGCTTCTTCTCGGTGGTGCCGCCGAAGGGTGCGGATAGTACAAGACAAGCTGCTCCGCAGAGGAGTAAGCACAGCAGCCGGAGTGCGCTGGCCATGGTGCCCGCAGCCTTTGCAGCCCCGACCCGTCACCTTTCCAAAGAGCCGGACTGAAAGAGGGCGGGGCGGGGCGGGTACGTCAGGGGTGGGCTGGGCCGGTACGGCAGGAGTGGGCGTGGCTCCTCTGTGTCGGCCTATAGAAATGTAGTTCCGGCGCGCGTGCGCAGCGACCGTGGCCGCGGGGCGGGATCAAGCGAGTGGCAGCGAAGCGTCGTGGCTACGCCCATTCTCCTGGCTCCTCTAAGGTGCAGCTACCCCTTCCTCCGCGAGGCGGATACTCGCTGAGGCGTCTTCTGAGACATCCGCCTGAGGTGAGTCCCAGCAAGGCTCCGCCTTCAGCCTGCAGCGGAGGACGCAGCCCACTAGGGAGTCCGGAAGTCTAGCGAGAACCTTGAGCAGGTTCTCCCGCTGAAAAGGCCGGGCCTTCTCTTTAGGAATGCTGCCTGCCTAATTTGACACTGCCGCGTTCCAAATAGAACGGACGGTGGCTGCCGAGGGCAGGCGAGCTGCAGTCCAGGTGTGAGAGTCCAGAGGAAGAGTAGTCTCGCCTTGCCTCGCCTCACCTCGCCTCACCTCAGAACTGGTTCGAGGCGGGCCCAACCCCAGGCATCCCAGCAAAGGAGATCGGCCCAACCAGCCGCGCCAACGATGCCTACCTCTGATAAACGCCGTCCGTGCCAACCGCAGACGTCCGCCAGGGCCTCTGTTCGTCTTGTTCGGGAGCACGGGTGGCCCAGGGGTTTAGGCGTTGGTCTGCCTAGAATGGGATTTAAATTAGGAGTATACATACATAAGGAGGTTAGAGGTTCAAACCCTAGCTGCTGCTCTCAAAGAGACTCCCAGCTGTCCAGTCCACGGCGACCCACTGTGCTCCCTTGCCTGTGGGTTTCCGAGACTTTAACAGTTTTAAGTATTTCCAGGAGTAGAAGGTGTCGAAGGGACTAGTGGTTTTGAACCTCTGATCTTGCAGATTGCAGCCCAACGTGCAGCCACTATACCACCACTGCTTGCTGCTACCCTAGTAGAAGACTTAACCTTTCCTATGAATCTGATGCTACAGAGTTGGGGTTTAGGTTTCCTAGTCATTAAACGTGCCTTGAGGTTTTCAGTGTAAAACTTTAGAATTGGACACTTCCCGCATTTCAGTGGGAAGATAGGAAAAATAATATCCTTTTTCATTCAACTGCTTCAAAACAGTCGTTGAAAATTTGTCTTTCAAAAAAAATTGTCTTTCAAAAAAAATTGTCTTTCAATTCAATGTCCATTTTTCATGAACATTTTGAAGTTTCTTGTATTTTTTCATTCATGACCCAAGTGAAATTCAGAATGAAATTCATCTGAAGTATGAAATATAGTCAATTAACATGGCCCCTGTAACCATAACTGCTTATGTGATGGACTCTGTGTTGCTATAATCCCATTTTGGACGGTGTTCTCTATTGAACTAATGAACATGATTAGGGTGGGATTGACTTTGGCAGAGGGTTCGCCTTGGTTCACAACCTTGGTTTCCTTGGGGCCTCTTTAGACTCTACTAAAGGGTGGGGCTTAAGACACCACCCTTTAATTCCAACTACTTTCTTCCCACCCACTTTACTTGAGGAAATGATTTAAAACACTATCCTTTGTTTTCATTGTGAGTATGGTCAAAAAGACAAACACCTCCGTGTAGAGGTCATCTGGGACACCAAAGTCTAAAAACCATTGGAAGAGTAAGTCAAAAAGGGCAGAGGTCGCTGAGACCAGATGCACCAGAGACTGGGCTCCCGAGACTCAAGAACAGTGGCCAGAGTAGGGGATGCCTTCTCATCTGGTCCTAGACTGGGAAAATTAACAGGCTTGGCCTGTTGGTCTCCTTGGAAGCAAAAGCCAAGGGAGCACCTGGCTGAGAATCTGAAGACTAGAGAGCTTTGGCTGCTGCCTGAGAAATGTTTCTGTGGATCAATGACTGTATATTTACTGTTTGCTGATCCTGGCTTATGATAGCCTATTAACTTCCCTAATAAACCCTCTTCATTGTGAGTATTGTTTGTGAGTTCTCTGTGACCATTGCAACGAATTATTTAACCCAGCGTAGAAATAAGAGTGCCAGGAGATGAATGGTTTGGTGTCAGTGAGGCAGACTAGCAAATGAAACTCCATTTTTGTTAGCTGCTGAATGACCTGCCTCCTTCCCCCTCCCATCTCGGAAAGTCCCACTAGTGATTGATTTTAGATTGTACTCTCATGTTCCCAGATTTAGGACACTCCAATTAGTTTAGACTATTCTTCAATATATTGTTTGTTTTAAATATGGTTCCTTTTGATGTTGTAATCTGAATGGTGTAGTTAATCTTGTTACGATAACAAGGATGTTAGAGTCAATTTTGGTATTGTTTCATGATAAAGGAATGTATCTTGTAATGCCTGCTTGCTCTTCTTGAAGTTACCAGAATGTTATAATCAGTGCTGTACCCTGTAACGCTTCCTAACCCTAAAGAATAGTAACATTAATTTTGCTTTCTGCTTCTGCCCATGCTTGCTTAAGTCCTAGACAAAGAATGAGTTTTTGTCTTTAAAGAGGGACTGAAATGTTGACTCAGGACTGCAATCAAAGAATTGCTTTTAAATTCTAGCAGCCCGGTTATAACTGAATAAACACTCTTCTAAATTATCAAGACATTATAGTGGCTGTCATTTATTTGAACCCATAGGGTAAAGAAGGATGGAGATTGAAGTCCTATCTGACCCCTGCCTGATGGCAATACAGACACCTGAGGAGGGAAGATATGGCCAGCTGTCTACCGTGCTGTTTATTACAAAGAGTATACGAAACCTGATCTGTCAAGTAATGAGGATGCAGAAGTGAACTGAACCATGTCTTTTTCACATGAAATCTACAAAAGGAAAAAAATCTGACACATCAGAACCGTATTTATGGAGCAATCTAAAGCAAACTTAAGAATGTATTTCAAGAAAAGTGAATGCAAAAAGTTTTTTTATTTGATAATACATTAATTTATAAAGGTATGGTGAGAGAGAAATCCAGAGAGTATAATGAAAGGTATTTCACTGTCTCTAATATAATTGACATAGATTCTTCGTAAGGATGAAAATGTGGTCCTGGGTTACTGTGAGCCTGAGTCTAAGCTGAAGATCAGCATTTCTAAACCACCAGCGGCTCATGGGAAAGAGATGAGGCTGTGTACTCTGGAAAAGACTTACAAACTTGGACACCCACAAGGACAGTTCTACTCTGTCCTATAGGGTCACTATGAGTTGGGATTGACCTGATGGCAGGGAGCTCGAGTTTTATAGAAAAAAAATTAAATGACAACTGGGCATTCTATAGGAAAACTCCAAACTCCAGGTGAAGTAAAGATGTAAATATGAAAAACAAAATATTACACTTTATATGAAATTACCTTAGTAGTAGGAAGTATTTCATTAAAAGTAGGATAAAATCCAAATCTTAATGGAGTGATTTCACAAAATTATAATTTTTTTTAATTTGGGTAAAACTATAAACAAATTTTGGAAAATGTTTGCAAAGTAGAATTTTCAAAATATTCATTTCCAGAGTATACAGAGAACTAAAATCAATATGTAAGGACAACTCAATTTTCACTCAGGTAAAAAGTTACAGTGTTGGAAACCCACAGGTTATTCTACCCTGACCCGTAGGGCCATGATGAGTCAGAATCTACTCCACAACAGTGAGTTCTTGAGTTTGATCCAAGATAAAAATTTCAAATGGAAATTTAGTAAGGGATAATGAAGAAAGTAAGGACATAAGGGTGGAGAAAATGGAGATCCAAAGATAGGCTTCCAATCTTATCCAAGTTGTGACACAAAACTATCAGGGAAAAATCAGAGGAGTAAGAAGAATGACTTTAGTCAGGTTATTGCATCAGGGAGAGTGCCCCAGATCTGAAGATCAGAATGTCTCCGCAAGGTGGTTTTACCTTAGATTCTTGGGGGAGGGGAAAACACATGGATGCAATGATTTACAGGTAGAGTTGTTTTGCTTAGTTATCAGAACAGAAAATATTTTTTCCTAAAGTTAGCCAGTTTCAGAAGGTCAAATGGTTCTAAACTGAGCTAATTAATCGTGAGATAGAATGAGAAGTTGCAGGGTCTGTGGTTGGCCTTTTGATGACTTAACTACTAAGGGTAAACCCCTACCAGCCCCCCCCCCCAAAAAAAAAAAAAGCTTTGTGCTGGGCGGAACTTAATAGTACTGCTAGGAGAGCATTGAGCAGCTTGCTGAGTTAGTGCACCCAGTGGCAGTTAACTGATTCTCCTGAGCAAACACCATAGGGAGTAGCCTCTGTGTGAGTGTTTATATTACGAATCCAAAACCTATCACCTTCGAGTCCATTCCAACTCATAGTGACCCTATAGGATGTAGGAGGACTATCCTATAGATGCAAGAAAGCAGACAGCCACATCTTTCTTCTACAGAGTTGCTGGTGTAAGTGACCTGCCAACATTTTAGTTAACAGACAAATATACCACCAGGCTCCCTCTCTCTCCTTCTTTCCCTTTTTCTGTCTCCTTCCCCCACCTGGACTCATATATACTCACTGCCATCAAGTAAATTCTGACTCATGGTGACCCTGTAAGACAGGGTTGAGCTGCCCCTGTGAGTTTCCACTGTAATGGTTTACAGGAGTAGAAATCCCCATCGTAGGGAGGGAACACTAGAGTTGATTATGATTATACAACTCATTTTTAAAACAATTTAACCAAGGAAGGATGTGATATGGGAATACTATTTTTTTTGGGGGGGGGGATACTATTTTTTTTTAAATCACTAAAAAACATAAGAAGAAGAAACCAAACTTAACCAATGGTTATCATAGGTGAAGGGAAAAGAGTTGTTACAAAGGGGGCATTGAGTCTATGTCAATAGTGGTAGAATAATTTGGAAAAGGATATCAATAGTGGCTGTACAGTACAAAGAGTATAATCACTGACACTGAATTACACAAGTAGAAGTTATGGAATTGGAGAATGTTCTGTGGTGTATGTTTTT